AGTGACATATTTAAACATAGAAGCGAAACAAAGCTTAAAGTCCAAAAGAACAATCGAAAGAATAGTACATTCCAAAATTTATCTCCTGTATGGTAAGAAGAACCCCAAAATTGTGTGGTCAAGTGATAATCTTTATTTTTATATTATTTGTTCTTATTATTGAAAAGAAATTGACATGGTCTCCTTGTATAGTGTTGACTTGCCTGGAACTCTAGACATATTAGCTTCAAATGCCCCCCCCCAAAAAAACCAACAACAGCAACTGTCTGATTCTGCCTCTTGAGTACTGAGATTAGTGTGTGTTCCTAGACGAGGCTTAGAACATTATTCTTAAAGGTGTTCTCTAAGAAATACCTGCAATGTTGTTCACAAAATGCAGGGCTTGGTTTTTTGTTTGTTTGTTTGTTTCTGTCATATCCTTTACATGGGTAACAACAGGGAAACAGATCTTTCTGTTTTCACAGTTACAAATCAGTAGTGCACTTTTATAGCTCAATAGGTATATTCATGCAGAACCTGAGAAGTGGAGTGCATTGGTGAGCAAGCCTTGTTTCAAGAGGTTGAGAAAGTCCTTTGTCACCATCTCCATGGCTTCCTATAGTTCTCAGATAGTTGTTGATCTTCATTCTTACCATGACCTGTATCAAAAATATGTTTGTGGGTGCTTGTTCTCTCCTATGCTGTAACTAGCCCTGGTTATATATGTTAGTAGATCTCCCAGAGTACTCATTCAGCTCAACTTTCAGATATGCAAATAAGGCCCTTTAACACAACAAATGTCCATGAATACTTCAATAGAGAAATCAAGAGTGGCGAATTATTACAATCTCACTGCAACATCTCTGCCCTTCTGAGATAGCTGTAGAATACATCTGTTTGTACATCTTATGAATTGAAAAAAGTATTCATGAACTGACTTAGAAATTTTTCCTGCTTTCTATCTGAACTAAAATGAGTAGTTAACATTGAAAAGGCAGATGTAAATGTGGGACAAAGCCTGTCTGCTTATCTAGTAGCTCTTTGCTGAATTTTTCCTTGCCTGTATTCCTCCTAACATTGGCTTTGTGATGTTTTTATTACCTTGCAAGCACATCTGTCATTGTACAAATAGCACATCAAAAGAAAACTAGATTTTAATGTTTTAGATTTGTGTATACCTTTTAATCAGTTCTCATTTTACCTTACATGGAATAATGAGGAAAAGTGTAACAATCGAATGGGAAAAAGAATTCATCAATTACACAACCAAAACCAACATCCCTTTAGTACTTATTTGGTGGGAATATATTAGTGATAAATTTCTACAATTTTTTTCTATTCTCATACATCATTATTAGCAAAAGTTATTTGACACATATATTGAAATAGATGAACATTAAATTGACTTTTGCATCTCTTTTTGTCATTTTGTGACAATAATGGAATTTCTTTCCAAACTATCATTAAATAGAGTACAGTCCATTTGTGGCTCTACCTTAAGAAAAATACCACTATTTCTCTTTGTTTTCTGATTTTTCAAAAATCATCAAGCAAATTCCTCAAGTACTTTTATAACATCTATTATAGTGATTTTTTCTACCATGATGTTAATGTGTTATAAGTTAAATTTCTCCTGTTTAAATAAATAGAATTTCAGTGCTACCTGTACATAAACTCCTAGATTTGTACTATCAACCCAAGTTCTCTGTGAAGGTGGTTTTTAATAGGATTAGGAGGAAACATCCATTTTAAAGCCTGTCCTGAACATGTCAGAGTGCTCAGTTATTCATGTTTTATCTCCAGTTACTAATGTTGGGTGCATTTTGAAGAAAGTATTTACCTTGATGTTTTGGGTTTCTTTAATAGGTGAAATATAGATATCTGATTTTAAATCAATAAAAATTAATTATTCATTTTATTTAATTAAGGTAGAGAATTGTTATCCCAAGCAATTTAAAACATTTCTTTACATATTCAAAGCAGTGATAAAATATTGATTGTAATGTTTCACCTGAATTATTTATGACTTATTAAGATAAAAGGGTTATAAGTCACTGTCATAAAATCTTGACCACTACAGGATATCACACAGAAATTCAAATTTTTTTATCTTGTTTTGGAATTTGTAAACTACTCCATTTTTCCAATTCCATAGTAACTTGTTTTTTCCTTTTTAAATGGAGTGTGCTGGATATCTCTACAATTTTGTTCAAATGACTGCAGAACCTGGAAAAGCTGTTGCTGCTATTGATGCATAACATATTGCCATTATTGCACTCTCTCTCTGTCTCTCTCTCTCTGTCTTTGCATGCAAATTTGATTTCATCGTTAGTAAGTAGTAAAGTTATATGGTTGCCAAAAAAAAAAAAAGTGACACACTGGAAGACAAATGTCACACAATTTCAATTTTATGTGTAACCTAGAAATGATGAACTTATGGGAACAGAGAGCAGAATTGTGGCTATTAGGCGTCAACGTGGGTTTTTGACAATGGGGAAATGAATGGTTTAAGGATATAAAATTGCAGTTGGACAAGAGGCATGGACTCTGTGAAGTCTTGAAGTCTACTGAGAGCATGATAAACATGGTTGATAACTATCTGAGCTATTTTAAAAGTTGAGAGATAGTATACTTTAAGTGTTCTCAAAACAAAAATGATGAATATGTGTGATATAACATGTTAATTGGTCTAATTTAGCCATGCCATTGTGAACATACTGTATTGTGTATCATAATTGTGCATGACTTTATTTATAAGCTAAATAAATAAATGAATGAAAAAAAAAAGAAAGGGACTTTGAGAGCCCATCCCACATGAAGGGATGCTCTCATCTGGAACACATGGGGGAGGGCCTAGGCCTGGCCAGGATGATGTTGTGGAATTTGGGGAGCCCCTATGGAGGGCTCTACCCTCTATGGGGAGTGGAGAGGGGAAGGGAATGGTGGGGGATTGGGGAGGGAGGGGAGAGGGAGGAGGGATTGACATGTGAAATTATAATTTGTAAAAATTAAATAAAAAATTTAAAAACATAGATCTATTCTGACTTTACAGATCCTCTTCATAGCACTCTTCCTTTTAACATATGCAAGATAAGCGGTTTGGTTATGAATAATCATTGGAATTGTAAATTACTTATTACCCTTTTGCTTAACATAAGCCAGGAGCAATTTTATATACATTAAAATTCTATTTCTCAAGTTGATTGCTTTAGTAACTACAATATCAATTTCATTATTTTAAGCCAATATGACATAAAATTATAATTTTTATTATTATTGAATGTAAATTTTTCTCATCCTTTTGTTATAAATGATAATTCCTCATAGATGGAGGAGATTTTACAATAGCATATGTCTTGTTAAACTTGATTAAGTAGTTTGTTATCCATGGTGCAAGATGACATTCAGAAATCAAAGTAACTTTTGTAGTGTATAAGTTTCCAGCTTAGAAAGTGACTTATTTAGACAATTTTGATTTGTATGATTGTGGGAAGTATATGGTATGGATTTTAAAGGGGTGACAGAGAAATATTCTTCATCTTTACAGCACCCACTTCTCAGTGACAGAGATAGTAGAGAGTTCATGTGTAGGTGTGTCCCCTTTTCTTGTATTCACCAAGCTGACAATAGGGAAAAAATCTAGGAAGCTCAGACATCTTAATTCTATATGGAGAGAGGGTAATGATTCCAAAGACGAGGAATATAGGGACAAGAGTGAAGAAGTGGGTGTGGGGAACTCATACTGTCTTACTTACAGTTCATTAAATCAGATAAGAAAGGAGTTTTGTTTTGAAGAAGCAGCATTCATGAATGGCATGTCTTCTGAAAAAGACAGTACAGAAAAATTAGCAGAACAATGCTATTTTTCCAAATTTTATACATGAAAAATGACAAATTTTTCATATTTCATACTTTTATGTTTTTATTTATGCAAATATAGAATTTATTATTTCTTATAATTTAATATTGAGTAGAGTTGAAACTAGATAAACTGCCCGGGGGTTCTTAGTCCTGGAGAAAACTGTCTTTCTCTCCCTCAACAGCCTTTGACTACCTATAATTCTTCATCAATGGTGGGGTCTTAGGATATTTCCACAACAAAATTGGTATGTCAACTGGCATTGTCATTATGTAGATCTTGTTCAAGCAACCATGTTGTTGGGATGTCATGATGAGTGTAGGATCCCTGTCAAGTCTACACTATGTAGTAGTAAGCATCTTGATCCTCTGGCTCTTCCAATCATTTTACTCTTTCTTTTACAATGTTTTCTGAGTAGGTTGTGGGGCTGTTTTGTAGATTTACGAAGTGGGGTAGTGAACTATGCAGTCATACACTCTTTGCATTTTGACCACTTCTGGAGCTCTGTAATAGCCTCTGTCTGCTACAAAAAGAAGCTTAGTTTTTGAGGAGTGAGAGTTATAGTTATTTTGGTATATAAACTAAGTATTTATAATATAGTTAAATATTATATTGATTTAGGGAAATAAGGAGTAGTAGGTCTGTGACCACTTCAGTCATATGAAGTTGGCGAGATTTGTATTATCTATCATGAATTTTCAAGTATTGAGTAGGCTTTAAGTCCAATTTTATATCTGTTGTCTACCCCAAGATGTAAATGCCACTATTATATCACTATAGATATTTTGCTAAGAGAGTCATTGTAAATATAAGCAGTGTGATAAAATTTGTGAGGTCTTGCTTAATGAAGACAAATTCAATTCAATATTCCCAACAATAAGCATTATAGTTTGGTTGTCAATTCTGGGTTAGTGTATTAAAAACTGAGCATATAATTTTCAGCTTATGTTTATTGCCTTAATTAGTTATAAAATATGAAGAAAAAGTACCTTTAAACAATGTTAAATTAGGCAAAAATTCTAAAGCATTTTTATAGTATGTAATATCTAAAAGTTCTTAGAAAAAGTAACTATAAATCCCATTGTGGAACAGATCATGAGGCACATGTTTTAAAACATTCAGACAATTTAATACCTCTATAATTGTTCGATTGCTTTGTTAGGTGGTATTTTTGAATATGTGGAGTCTGGCCCAATGGGAGCTGAAGAACTTGCATTTAGATTTGCTGTGAACACAATCAACAGGAACAGGACTCTGCTGCCCAATACCACGTTAACTTATGATACCCAGAAGATCAACCTCTATGACAGTTTTGAAGCATCTAAGAAAGGTAATTAATAACTATGTACTATGGTTTCTAGAATGCAGATTTCTAGGTGTGCTTTAGAGAGTTCTTGATTTTTTATGTAGTTAAAAGGTTATTAAGAACATATATATGGAAGAATTTGTTTTTTATACCTGCATGTATTTTATAAGACAAAATGTTGATGTAGTTAGCTTTTTAAAAATAAACATACAAATAAAAACATAAGTTAAATTAAATTTGTGGTAGATGACTGATCTCCTTTCTTTGTTATTAAAGTTTTTTTAAAAACCAACTAAAATAAATGATAAAATAATTCTTCCAGGGGTCCCAGGTTAAGTTCTCAGGACCCAAATGGCAATGAACAACTATCTGCAGGTCTGATTCCAGAAGACCTGACCTCTTGTTCTGCTGTCTCATGGTACTGCAAGCACATGGTATATTGACTCACATGTAGACAAAAGACAATGCAAATTAAATAAAATCACTAAAGCAATTTTTAAAAGGAACCACTACCAAAGAATATATTATGCAAACAGCAGTATCAGTAGTGAATTTGTTTGATGGGTACATATTTACATATTGTCACATAAATGATCTTTTCTTATATACATCGATGATATTATAGGAAGGCAGGTCCTATGATTGCCATAATTATCATTTATGTAGCAGACATTGTCAGTATAGTGTTTGTTGTCACCATATACTATAAAACAAAACAATATTTACCTTTCTATAATGTTAATATTCTTTTACTAGCTACCTTACATTGATGGAAACACATAATTATTTGTAATTCTAATGTGATGAAATGTTCTTCCAAGCTTATTAATATTAATGTCAGTTGATAAGACACAATTTTCTCAAGATGAAAGTCTCTTTCTTTTCCGCAGATGCTAACTTGTGTTTTTCAAAGTCATATTCTGCTTGCCCTTTGAATTCATATATTTGTGAATACAAATTAGTTTCCACATTTCAGATCCATGTCATGGTGATAAAAGGTTTAAAGGACTGTAGGGAAAAGGTTAGAGTTGACTGTAAAATGTTCTGATTGTCACAACAAATGCAAACTAAGTCATTAATTGCAAGATGAGTGAATTTTATCAGTAGTATAGCTCATGACTATTTCCATTATGGAAGAAGACACTCTGAGGTTAATGAAAGCATTCAAAATGAATCATCTGGAGTGAGGAAAATATAGATAAAATATTAAGAGATTTCTTAATGGTAACTTCAAAGGATCAGTGTAAAAATATAGAGTCAAATTTTCCTGACAACAATCACAATGCTACTGGCGAGTACCCTATCACAATTCTTAGTTATTAAAGTCACCTTGTTTATAAAATGTTATGTTTAACAGATTAAACATCCATTCAAATCCCATTTGGAATCTGTTCCAGAGCTAGGGAAGCTCAAATAAGTAACTAAATAAGTAACCACAAGGGGTAAAAGGGGTGAATGCTCTTTTGCATCTTATTTATTGAAATATTATTGCTTAAATTATAAAGAAATATGTAAAGGAAGAGAGAGCCAAAGTAGATTTTGAATCTTACAGAGTCTCTACAAATGTATACAATTATGACAGTGCCCATCAACTTATTTTTTTTTATTTTAGAGGCACTTATATTTAAATATCCATCCCTCCATTCCCTTGCCCTCCGATCCTCCCATGTTCCCCACACCCCCCCAACCCACCTTCCATCTCCTCCCCAGGGATAGTGAGGCCCTCCACGGGGGACCATCAAAGTCTATCATATCATTTGGGGGGAGGGCCTAGGCCCTCCTTGCTGTATCTGGGCTGCAGTAATATCCCTCCATAAAGAATGGGCTCCCAAAGTCCATTTGTGCTCTAGGAATAAACATTGGCTCCATTGTTAGAGGTCCTATAGACTGTCTTTGACTCCTAACTGACACCCACATTCAGAGGGCTTGGTTCAGGCCCAGTTACAGCTGGGGTCTCCATGTTCTAATTAGGTCAGGCCAACTGTTTGTACGGTTTCTCCAGCACAGTCTTGGCTCCTTTGCTCATCAATCCTCCCTCTCAACAACTGCCTTCTAGGAGTATGGCTCAGTGTTTAGCTTCGAGTGCCTGTTTCTGCTACAATCAGCTACTGGATAAAGGTTCTAGGAATCGCAACCAAGGTAGTCATCAATATTATTCTAGGGGAAGGGCATCAAAGGCAGCTTCTCCACCACTGCCTAAATTCTTAGTTTGATTCATCCCTGTGGATCCAATAACATTTTCCACTGTGCCAGACTTCTCTCCAAACCTGTACTGTCTCCCTGAATCAAGAAATCTCCTTTCTTGCCCTCCTGTTTTTCTCCCCTGTCTTGGTCCTCTTGTTCTCCTCCCGCCTCCCCTTTGCCCCTTCTCACCTCCTTCCTCTCTCTCCTGCTCCCAATTTGCTCAGGAGTACCCATCAACTTTAAAAGAGTATTTTTAATCATTTTTGCCCGAATAGAAATAGGATGTTAAATTTTTTACATATCTCATAGATTATACTACTTTGCTCTATCAATGAATACTTTGATGTTTTATAATTGAATTAGTATTTGATTCATGCAATATTTCTAGTCTTTTTTTTTTTTTAGCTATGTTAGTGGCACAGTTTTACTATCCTTCCTAAATCCTCTGGAGGTCAGAGAGTCAGGAGGATGAGGTCAGCCTGGGCAGCAGAAGAAAACCTCTTCTCAAAACCTAAATAGGGTCCAGTGATGGTGGTATATACCTTTAATCCCACCACTTGGGAGGCAGAAGCAAGCAGATCTTTGTGAGTTCAAGACCAGCCTAGTCTATAAGAGGTAGTTCCAATACAGCCTCTAAAGCAACACAGAGAAACCCTGTCTCAACAAACAAACAAAACAACAACAAAAAACTATATAGTTTTAGTAAATAATAACAAAGGCACCAGTGTTATTTAAAAACATGGGATGATTCCAATCAAAATATAGGATTTAAAGCACCATTTTGAGTGTGTTATCAGAATTGGTTTTTTACTGATTTAGAGCTTTGATCATTATTTGGAAAATAGTAATCATTATGTTCAAAATTAATTCATTTATATTATATCAGATTCTTTAAGGAGACATACATAAGTAAGTGGTTTTTAAAAATATATTTTACCTAATTTTAAATGTGTCTATGCTTAGGTTCTCATGTATCACGTATTTTATGCTGAAATTATTCCTTTTATTTTTCCTTTTGCCACCCTTCCTTGACATTATTTATATAATTATTTGAAGTTTAGTTACATGAAACTGGGTGAATAATATTTCTTTTAATATTCTGAAAATATTCAGTCATAAATTCATGAGGCCTCAGCCATAGACAATGACCTAACTATAGTCAATGTAGGAAAGCTGAGAGCAGGAGAAGCAGTCATCCCTGGGGACAGCATACTAATGGTCGTTCCAATATCACATGGCTGGCTTAGAAAACATACATAAAAGTAACATTATACAGATGGAGCAAGTTTTATTTATGTATTCAGAAACACACACACACACACACACACACACACACACACACACATTAATTTGAGAAAACGAGGCCATAAATTTGGAAGAGAAGCAGAGGAGGAAAACATGGGAGAAGGTTTGGAGAGATAAAAGGGAGGAATGATAATAATTATAATATGTAATATGTGTAATATATGGTATATGTGATTATAATATAATGTTGTGTATATACACACATACATATATGTATACACATATGTGTGTAGAATTAATGAAATGCAGATTTATATTAAAGAAGAAAGATCTTTAACAGGAAGAAATTTCAGGGATTTAATAGCAATTTGCACCATCCTTCCCTCTCCTTAATAATGGACTCCTTTCTCCTCTTCAGCTTGTGATCAGCTCTCACTTGGGGTGGCTGCTATCTTTGGGCCTTCACACAGCTCATCAGCAAATGCAGTACAGTCCATCTGCAATGCCCTGGGGGTTCCTCACATACAGACCCGATGGAAACATCAAGTGTCAGACAACAAGGATTCCTTCTATGTCAGTCTCTACCCAGACTTCTCCTCTCTTAGCCGTGCCATCTTGGATTTGGTTCAGTTTTTCAAGTGGAAAACCGTCACAGTTGTGTATGATGACAGCACTGGTAAGAGCAGTGGCCCCCATGGCTATTTTGAATACTTTGTTTTCTGGAGGACATGCCAGGTTCTTTCTGTTCTTCTTTGCTTTCTTTTATTAGTTTAATTCTGTTTTTGTCTGTTAATTTATTATTATGATTGTTGTGTTTATATGGAAGGACTAAAAGATATTTGCAGCCAAATAACAACACTTGTTCTAGTAAAAGAATAACCAAATCACATATATTTTCTTTGTGTTTATAAAATGAGCCTGAGGAGTTTGAGCCATACATTGAAAACCGAGTTAATATGATTATCATCGTAATTTATTATTTAAATGATTTCAGTTAGATTCAGTGGTTTTCTACAGGAAAGTTTCATGATACTCAGTCACCATAAGAAAATTTACAATTTTGATAAAGAATTTATGTTTTATGCAAAATGATGTATAAAATGACTAATAAAATCCACATCTTTAAGCAGTATACCAAAATTTAAACTGTTGTTTTTCTAAAATGTTGAACAAATGATAGCACTGAAGATGAATATTTTTGGACTGCTTTTGTGTAGACACAATTAGCAACTTAGAAAATAGGATTATAAATAGAATTCAATAAAATACTAAGAATAATTTAATAAACATTCTCTACAGTGCTTTTCTGTGCCATATTGCTTTAATGATTATTAATGATGGTTTATTGTTATCTTGAATTATTAATTTATAAATTTTCAGAAAACATGAGAAAGGAAACAGTAAAATGAAACATTTAGTTTTCTTCTGACACTTATTTTGCAAAGTAACTGTTAGGTTTATCATGATAATTGATTTCATTTCAGGATATTTTTCAGTATTCTAATATTACTTTAAATTAGAATGTAAAACATTTTATTTTAGGCCCTCTTTCACTATGGCTTCAAATTTACATTGAGATTAAAATTCATTTAAATTTAAATTCTCCCCAAATATGGCAGGAACATGGTTTGTTCCCACTCACTTTGTATGCTTGCCATGGACAAATTTTTTTTTGTAGAAATGTATCCATTTTATAAGGAAATTATCAGTTCAAATGGACAGATAGGATCTTTGCTAGGAGAATAAAGAGTTTCAAGTTTGAAAAAGCAATGAAAATAGACTTATATGACATATGAAATAGCTAGCCTTATTATGTTAGTAATCTTATTTATATTGTTGAAAAATATAAAAAATATTTTTATTAATTTTAGCTTCTACATTTATCAATAAAATCTGTAAAATAAAAAGTACTTTAGAATGATCTTTTAACTTAAATTAGGCTTATTAAGCTTGTTATGTTTTTCCCCCAAATCATTTCCTTCATGTGATTGGTTAAACTCTCCTAGAAATCTATGTATTAACTGCTCTCCTGGGTTTGCATTATGTGGAATGCCAGGGAATCTTCAGATACAAATTCATCCACTGATGTTTATGTCCATAAATAGTCATATGCAGTTATATAGAAAGTGGATGAGGTTATTTCTTTATGTTCTTTTGATAAATTTGAGTATATGTTGCCTAAACTGCATACATACTTAATTTTACATATACAAACATTTATATATATACGCATATGTATGCATATATATTTACATGCTCTAATTTCTATGGATTTTTTTCATACTGTTTATAATTAGAAAGGAACTGGCAAAAGATTAAAGTGTGAATATACATGTTTCTTCACTTATATGTAAATGTTCATCTTGAGGACTGACCAAAGAAACAACAGAATTTATAATCAATATCCCTAATTGGCAAAGATTCACATGAAATCAGTGTTTCAACCTATGAATAATATTCTAAACATTTCCATCTCCAGTATAAATTTAAATAAACAAATAGTCAATTACATTTACATACTTATAGAGAACTTGACCTCAAATTGTGTTTGTTGAAAAGCATTTTAAATTCCTGGAAAGATTTACATCTAGTCCTGGTACTGTCTATTGACCGTAATGCAAGCACGTGTATGTGTAATAGTAACACTAGTTGGAGGTCAGCCTAGGTTACATAGCAAATTCAACACTAGCCTGTTCCGTAGAGTGAAACCTTATCTCAAACTCCATCATTCTCCACTAAAAGAAGATGCTTTATCACCTAATTACTATGAAAGTTACATAGACATTTCAAAAGTATTTGATCTCATAAATAATACATAGATTATTAAAGAAATTATAAATTGATAGATAAATTTGTCTTAAAAGCCTCCAAATAAAATATGGATTTTCTATTATATGCATCACTTAATTGAACACATATTGGTTAGGCAGCTGTTGCTTAGCAATGACAGTTATAGGTGTCATTCTATGCTAGTTGAGGGAACAAAGATTCAACTCTCATTCTCCTATGCTACATTTATGGATTTTTGTTTATTCAAATTTTGTATTATTTTTAATTAGCTAATTTCATTGGTAACAGAATTTTTTTCTTTTTGGAGTTTAAATTTTTCCCTTGGAGAACTTGGTTTTCATTGTTTTATGTAATACAAATGATTTGTTGGTAAGCAGTAAAATCTTTTTCAAATGCCATCCTAAGTGCATAAAATTTTGCTGCAAATTACTACTGATAGAAATTGAAAAAAATGTGAACTGCCCAAATAGAGTGGAAGAAATGCAATTGTAGTCAGGACTGTTCACTGAATGCGGTCTCTATCATCACACTATTCAGCATAAATAATATTGACTCTATTGTGGATTGATGTATCAATTACTTACTGAAGATTATACATGTGTTGCTTTTATTTACATGTTCCCTTTTCCAGACCTACTTATTGCATATGTTGTCTGGTAAGTTTTGAATCCCCAGTTATTGGATGTCCACAACCAATGTAATAAGCCAGTAAAATGAAATTAATAAACCCATGTTTAATTAACAGAGCAAATTGCTCCTGGGTGACCCTCAGAGAGTGGGAGAGGAATGACATATGTTGGCCAGGTCTTAAGTAGCCTATAGGTGGTGGTCTTTAGCAGCCCTGGGGAGGAGATAACTCATGGCAGGAATTCTGAGGGGGCAGAGCCATGGGGAGAGAGAGAGAGAGAGAGAGAGAGAGAGAGAGAGAGAGAGACGGGGGGCTTCACCTAACCAATCCAGACTTTTTGGGGAAATGGGTACCAGGGCCTCAGGTTGAGCTTCCATCAGAATATTTCAGTATAGGTGGAGTTTCTTATTCCACCTGGTCCTACAGCCATTTATCTCCAAATAAACACACAGAGGCTTCTATTAATTATAAACTGTTAGGCCAGTGGTTCAGGCTTCTTATTGGCTAGCTCTCTCTTAATTATTAACCCATTTTTATTTATCTAATATTTTCACACTGTCTTATCTTACTGGATCATCTTGCTCCTTCAGCAGCTACATGGCATCTCTCTTGTGACTTCTCTCTGCATTTCCCCCATCCCCGGGAATTCTCCTCATATCCTAGCCTGGCTTATACTTCCTGCCTGACTACTGGCCAATTGGTGTTTTATTAATCAGCCGATAAGAGAAACATATATACAAAAGGACATCCCCCATAATCCCAAGCTCTTTGGGTATATAGATACCCGGAGTTGGGATGGGGCTTCTACTAGAATACTCTCTTCTATTTATATTCATTTCTACTTTGTTATATCATCCAGCAGATACCTGATAATCGCATCTAGTTCTTGTTTCCACATGCCAAACAGATGGATGATAGATGAAATGTATTTCTGGTCTAGGAAAACTTCCTAAAATGATGTTAGCAGGAGCTATTTATTTTTTTATGATAATTAGCTTTTGTTGTTGTCCTGGATGAATGCTTTTAAACACCTCGAAAGTCTGTTATAGCTCTCAATTGTGTCCAAAAATGATGGAAATGAATTGGCTTCAGAAACAAAGCTGTGTTTCTGTCAGTCATTTTGGAACATATGATTCATTTTAAATATAAACTAAAAATAAATTGGATAGCTGTCAGCTTGTAAGCAATTCCAGGATAAGTTGTGAATATTTGCTTTAAAATTCCTGTGTATCATCTTTGTTTATAGATCAGCAGTCCATTAACAACAACAACAACAAAAAGCTATGGGCTGGTAGGCAGAAGCCTAGGATTCTATCCCAGGCTTGCTGTTAAATTGCTGGAAAACATTGGGAAAAAAAGTAAGGGGATAGAAATGACTACAGATGAGCTATCATGCATTAGATATTATGTAAGTTCTGTCATAAATTATTTTTCTCAGTCTTCAAAAACAATTCTCTGAGTCTCAGAGGAAACAGGTTATTTCATATGGCCAGCTTCCTAGTTCCTAGTTGGGCCTCCTGCCTAGCAGCAGCCTTACAAATAGCCTCAATCCCTCTGTTAACTTGGGGTCCACAATCAATTCCCAGTTGTTGTTTCTTCACTGTTCTTCTCTCTCAAATCTACTGTCTTCTTGTTGTGCTACTTTTAATTCAAAAGAGATATCATCTTTCATGGTGTTTGTTACTAATCTTATGTGGTCTAATTGAATTCTCTATTTCAATTTCAATCTAATCAAATTTGTATTGATAATTTAGTCTCAATACTTTATTTAAAGTATTTCTAATAATGAAATTCTGGTTGACTCCACTATTACTAAATTCTTGGCTCTAAAATGCAGCCAAACTATTTAAAGACATTCTGTAGGTAATCTGGGTTCTGAATCTCTTTCCTGACATTAGAATTTAAATACTCAACTTTTGTTAGTTAAGGTTACAATGGAACCATTAAACTCCTTTCAGCTACTGACCACATTTTATTCTGTTCATATGGAAAGCACTAATTCCAGCCAGCTCCTGACAATGGGGTATACAAACCTGTCTGTGCACATTTTGACAGATTGACTATCTGGATTTAGTGCCCTCAAAGAAAGGCTTCTCTTGTCCTTTTTCTGATGTCTGAAAGATTCTCTAAAGTAGTCCTAAAAGTGCAGTTGTAACTCTCACTTGTTTTTTGGTTTTCCTGGCTCTATTTTTTTGTGGAGAAATCTTCATCTAAATAGAATAAACTCTAAAATTTTTATTTTTTCATGAGCTTCTAAA